GCCACTTTTACAGGAGAACTGCACATCCCACCTACATTATAACTTTGTATGTGCAGCTCTTTCATGTGACCCATGCAAAAAAATTTCTAGGTTCTCTGTAATGCTGTGAAAGAAGCTACCTTGCAAACAGGCACAAGACAGTGCATGTGGGCCATTTCTGAAAGAAGTAGAGACATGGTACTTTTATCCTGCACAGATGGTCAAATCTGAAGGACAACTGGATTAGCCAGGCTAAGGTCAGAAAAGCTTGGGGCTACCAGCTGCATGTGCTTAGGATCGGCATGGAATACAGTATATATGATGCGGCAGCTTCCGAGCTAAATTAGCTATGTGGGAGAGCTGAGGTGGAAATGGAGAAATCTGAGAAGTGGCAGCCATCCAGTAGACAAGAAACGAGGGAATCAATGTGATCTGATGTTGCAGGTCTGTGAGGCAGGGCTGCGATTATCAGGTAGGCTTCGTGCACTGCTCTTGTGTGCTGCTGCTCCTACTCTTTCTTTGTCTTCTTACCATGAAGAAGTGTCTTGATTTCCTGGTCCTGGTGTCCTGATGCCTGGTTCTGATGAATGAGGAGGTAGCACTCTGTCTCCCTCTTGCTCTCATGACTGCAGAGGCCAGGACATGTTTCAGATACATTCTTCCCCAGTTTCAAAATCTCCACCAGTACCAGAACAGTTAGATGTGTTGTTGACTTTTTGTGTTGGTATTTCAGGCAGCATTTTATGCTTAGGATGCAAAAATTTTAAACATAGAAGACACAGGGAAGTTTAGCCGAGACTTACTTGATGTAGTTTCCAGCTTTGTTTTGTCTAGACCTAAAAATACTGTATTTTGATTGTTTTAAGCAAAAATTGCCTTGCCCATCAAGCTTCAGTGCATGTGGATCAGCAGCATTGCTGTTCCATAGTATGATTTGTAAGAGAAATGAGAATTCTTATGTTAACACAGTGTGAAGTAAATGAATTTTGGAAGGTATGTAGGGGTGAGTTGTTCACTTGCTGTTATTGAAAAAAATTATTGTAAAATTAATGATGGCTGCATTTGATTTTGTAACTAGATCTCCAAGGGACTGTTGCTGTTAACTGGATGATAAAAATGAGACTGGGGGAAAAAAAGAAGACAGTAAGGCCATAACTGAGTAGTCAGGAAATTAATATCCAGTAAGATTAAGCAGTATGCAAATTATATTTCTTTCTGGCTTTGCTAAATTCTTCTTTTAATATGGGTTTGATTGTAACTAACTAGATTGACCTTCTGTGTGTTTATGAGATGAGTGTTTCTAGGGTAATAATAAATAAAAACCAGAAGAGACTGGGTTGCCAAATCTCGGGAATTCCTGATACTCAATATGGTAAACTCTTGCCATGTCTTGCCCTGGTGTGGCCAAGAAGAGCAACAATATTCTGTATGAAATTTCCTTGATGTTTTAATAGATATTAATGAGTTTTAAAAATCTGATAATAGGGTGAATTTCCTTTTTTTTTTTTGTTACTCTTCTCTGAAACCTGCTACTAACACAGACGGATGCATAGCTCCAGATACTACAATGGCTTAGATGTTTGCTGCATTTAATCTTGGGGAGAATAAGTTATCTCATGGGGAATTTCCTCCAGACAGAATTGTTCATGCCAAGAATCTGACTTCTGATGCAGGCAATGTTGTAGGTAGCTAATTTACATGTGTTTAAAAAAAAAAAAAAATTGGACTTTCTGTAGCTAATAAAGAGTAACTGTAGTAAGTCTTGCCTTCATCCTGCCTGTGACAGACTTTAGACTTTGCTAATGCATACCATGTCATTTACTTCAGCTGGCAGTGTGATCATCAAAGTTGTGGCATATCCAAGTGTTTAGATAGAAACCTACATTTCTGTGTACAGTGGACTTTGTGATATATAATTCTGTTGGTAATTGAAAGTTGCCTGCTTGTTCCCACCATTAATGCCTTTCCTGTACCTTAATTCTCAGGAATGGCAAAGTACAATTTACTGTTTAATATGAAAAATGAGAGAAAACCCATAGTACTACATAGATTCTTTTGCTTACTGGCCCAATGCAACAATATGTGTAATGTTCTACATAGTGAGAACAAATAAATAGCCTTCAGCTTCATATAGTCAGCTGAGTTTATCATGTTCGTAATTCTGTCTTCTATGCTTCATGCACTTCACTTAGTTAAATCCCCAAATGCTCTGTATTCATCCCTTGGACTGCATGGGTTATAATCTTTATATCTTGCTTAAGTAAGCAGGCAATCCTGCGCCCTCCTTATAGGGGTTTTCTGAAGACTTTTGTTCAATAATGCACAGCCAAGCTTTGGATCAGATAATGTATGAGTAAGAAAGAGAACAGCTTTTGACATGGGAAGCAGAGCCATAAGACACTGAATTGGTAGGAGATGCTAGTGGTAGAGGGTGATTAATTTGCTTACAAGTTCAGTAAGGTGAGGCATTTCTCATTTTGAAAAGGAATATCTTATTCCCTTTAAACTGATAAACTGTTGGGGTTTTTGTTTCATTTCCCCCTTTGCACAGGGGGTCTTACAGTGGTTTGTGTATGCTTGTCCACATATTTATTTAAGATAAACATTGCTCTTACCACTTCAGTCATGAGACTGAAATAGTATAAAATGGGACTAAAATGCAAATGAGACATTGAATTAGTCAGAAGTTACACAACAGTGAAGTTTTATTTTGTTGTGGAAAGCACTGTGATTAATGCTTTACGTATACCATGTTGCCATTAAGTTTAACTTGCAGAGAGAACCTTGGTTTTGTTTTGTCCAAGGATGGCTTTATTTAGCTTCTTTGGCAATATTTAGAAGTAGAGATACTGGGCTGGAGTTTGCAGCTCTGCGTTCTTTTCCTTAGCTTTAATTCCCACAAAGCTCACTGTACAAAATCCTGATACCCATTGTCTAGGGAGGACCATAAATGTACTTCTCCATAATATTTCTTAGGGATTAGAGAGAGTTGCTAGCTGTCTGTAGCATTCTTTAAAAATCATCCAGAGTTGGTGTTTGTGCATTAATGCATTAAAGTAATGCCAAGAAGAGTTACACTCCTCACTTCCCTTGATGAACAGGCACTAATACAACATGTGCCCTTCCAGTGCCTGCTGCATGATCCAAGTGGAACATTGGAGAGAGCTAATATGAAATACGGATTGCAATATCAACCTACTGAGACCATGACTTTTCTTGTGGAAAATGAAATTTTGCAGATACCTGCCACCAGACAGTGTCACGGTTCCATACCCAGAATGATCCTGTCGCGGGGATGCTCCTTAGGTAGGCAGCTGAACCTGCAGTTTATTAGAAGCAGCTGGAGTCTGTTAGAATGCTGCCAACAACAGCTAGTAAAATTTGAAGGTGATTCTCTGGTTTGGTTCTCTATGCCTCTTTCTGTAAAGATAAGAATCTCAATAGTTATTCAGTTAAAATTTTTACACCTCTCACACTAGGTTACTTCTGTAGCTAAAACTCACCATCTTGTACTGTAGCAGTAGATGTCTCTTGCCCTCTTAGTGGTGCACTCTTAAGAAACCAAACTTTTTTGTGTGAAACAATTTCTTTAAGGTTTTGAAGTATACTATAGTTTGATCTTAAAGAAGCCATAAGCCTGGATATACTGGTACTGGGAGGGATGATCTTCCTATTTTTCTATCAGTTCTTGTGAATTACAGTCTCAAATACAAGCCTTTGAAATCTTCTCCACATAATGCTTTTACCATAAAAAACCCCACAAAAACAAAGAAGAAAGAGAACTTTCAAGGAGAAACATTTTATTCTGAAAAACACGATAGGTTGACTTCTTTGACAAATCCTTGCTAGACATTTGTTGCTAGTTTTAGTTTTCATTGATATATTTTGTGGGTTTTAGGTGAAATATACAACATTAAACTTTCAGGCATCCATTACTTCTTATATACCAGAAAAGTACCAGTCTGTGTTGTTAAGCAGCTTCTACTTAGAGAAGCACAGAACCATAGAATAGTTTGGGTTGGAAGGGACCTTTAAAGGTCATCTAGTCCAACCCCCCCGCAATGAGCAGGGACACCTTCAACCAGATCAGGTTGCTCAGAGCCCCGTCCAACCTGACCTGGAATGTTGCCAGGGATGGGGCATCTACCACCTCTCTGGGCAACCTGGGCCAGGGTTCCATCACTCTCATTGTAAAGTATTTATTCCCTATAACCAGTCTAAATCTACCCTCTTTTAGTTTAAAACCATTACCCCTTGTCCTATCAGATCAGGCCCTGCTAAAAAGTCTGTCCCTATCTTTCTTATAAGCCCTCTTTAAGTAACCCTCTGGAAGGCTGCAGTAAGGTCTCCCCAGAGCCTTCTCTTCTCCAGGCTCAACAACCCCAACTCTCTCAGCCTGTCCTCACAGGAGAGGTGTTCCATCCCTCTGATCGTTTTGATGGCCTCCTCTGGACCCACTCCAGCAGGTCCATGTCTTTCCTGTGCTGAAGGCTCCAGAGCTGGACGCAGACTCCAGGTAGGGTCTCACCAGAGTGGAGTAGAGGGGCAGAATCGCCTTCCTCAACCTGCTGGTCATACTTCTTTGGATGCAGCTCAGGGTACAGTTGGCTTTCTGGGCTGCAAGTGCACATTCAGTTCTATGAAAAGATTACTGTCTGTTTTTATTAATCCCATAGGCAGCTTTTGCAAATGTTTTTGTATTCTAAATGATTGCAGTGAGAGGTTAAAGCACATGCAGAGAACAGAATTTCCCCATGTGTATCCTTCTCACCCTTCAAGTTATGTTTTAATACCAGCCTGACAGCATGGTTTACAGAACTGTGTCTACTTGGTTCAGGGTGCTATTACAGCTATTTAGTACCAATCCCTGATGAAGCATTTCACATAGTCTTCCTTTCCCAGTAAGAAGTTAGATCTGATTTCTTGTGTTCTGCACAGTCCACGCTTTTCTGTCTGTTAAAACTGGCTATAGTAGAGTTGTAGGAAAGCAACGTTAAATCCACTGTAATACTTTCTTTCAGGAATTACAGCCGAAGTCATAGTGGTAGCCTCTTTTGATGAACTGCACAAGAGAGCTCAGGAGGCCAAGGGGAAGATTGTTGTCTACAATGAACCTTTCATCAATTATGGTGAAACCGTGCAATACAGATCACAGGGAGCAGTGGAAGCTGCTAAAGTTGGAGCAGTTGCATCCCTCATTAGATCCATTGCTTCTTTTTCTATTCATAGGTAAGCATTTTTCTCTTTCCTCCCTGTGACTCACATTTCAGCCTATGGTCCACATGTCATTTCTGGGCAGGAATTTTTGTTCTCTGTGACTTAGACGTTGCCAGTTACAAGTGGGTGTTCGGTTTTGAAACTTTTGGCTGCATAATAGTTCTTTTCCCATGTGCTTTGTCATTGTTTCAAAATGTTTTCATTTTTTGTTACTGAACCAAATTTTGTATGATACTTGTTTTAAAGAACTTCCTGCATTCTCAAGGCTACCATAAATATCCTGAGATCAACCAAAATCAAATGTCTGTGGTGACAACATGTACCAGCCTGTCAGTGATGATACGAACTGGTCATTCTGTATATTTGACTAGAATGTACGTGTTCAGGTTTTATTGTATTTGTCATTTTCCTAGCACGAGGCTGACTTGTGCTAGATGAAGGAGTAGTCTGCTTTGAACATAATTATTTTGAATGCTTTAGCAGTAAGGCTTGGAATTCTCACTCTGCTTTTTAAGTAAGGTAGGTTGAAATAATGACATTAAAAATAAAGTGTTTTTAGATGTCTTAGTACATTACTTCTATAGTTTTAGATTTCTGAGCATTTTTTAAAAATGAGCATTTTTAGTTTTCTGTGAGGTGCTGTATTTTGTAATATTGTTCTCTTTTTGGACAATACATATTCAGAGCAATACAGGCCATTTATTCCTCCCCCTAGTTGCCCAGTGCCTCTACCTCACAAAGCAGTCACTGGCGGTAGCTAACCTGACCCTGAATGTGTGCCACATCATAAACTGGAATTGTGTTCTGTGCACCTAGGTTTTCTTTCTACAGGAGTCCAGGCTGGGAAGTGGTGGTTTGGCTTTGGGTTTTGCTTGAGACTGGGACTGGGAAGTGGCTGGGACAGGCACATGCAAGCATGCTTGATTCCACCATTTCAGACAAAACATAAGTGGTCACATCTCGGCAGTATGGGAAGTGTGCAAGCATCACCATTTGTGATGCTTCAAAAAGTTTGAGAAATGCAGTAATGACAGCTAACTGTATCGGATCATGTGCAGACGACAGCTCTGCTGCCAGTGTAGTTGCTTCATAGCATTTTTATATGCTCCATTAGTCCCCTAAAGAAACGAACATTACCTGTTTAAAATGCTTTCTCAAAAGTAGAGGACTTTGAATTCAGTTAGTATCCAGACTATACTAGTGTATTTCTTGATGCCCAGCAAATGTAGAAATATTTACAATATATTTTCTAATACCTATGATTTTCTAATAAATTTAATAATAATGAAAAGAGTAGAATATGTTTCAAAAACAGTTTTATGGAAAATGATAAGGTTTCAAAATAGTCATATTTGGTATCATCGAAGAATATTGCAATCTATAATCTGTTGATTATCTGAAAACTAGAAGATCATGTGAACAGTGATCTATCCAGTGCGCCCTGCAGAGGTGTTCATTTGAAAGTGACTCTTTGTATCTATGTTTGACAAACTATTTATGGAAGTGCATTTTAACATATAATAGAAAATTTAGACATGAGGAACAGAGGTGGAGAGTGAAGGTAGTAAAGCCTGTTTATTAGGTCTGGGTACTGGCATTACAGCTGTTTCAGAACTGAATGGAAAGAGAGAAGAAACAGATGCCAAATTCATGTTTGTTTAGAAGTATTGAATCCTTAATGGAGGCTGTGAGCTGAGGTGTCATTCCCTAAAGCAATTTCAAATTTAGATGCTGCCAGGAAGCATTTTTTCCTGAAATGTGCTTTCTGTCCTTTCTTTACTTACCTTCAGTTAGGGTTTTTTTGGGTGACGGGAAAGGACTAGTTAATCTATTTTTCCTGTGCTAAAGGTGGTATTCAGGTCCAGTCCGTCACTCCTGCTACTCTGTGATGCCTAGATCTGTTTGTCTTGTTTCTAACAGAAATTAGCTATTGCTCTAGGCAGGATGGATTGTCTTACCTCCATGCCTTCTCCTATGTTTTCTCTTAATCACCAGCTGTGTGTCTCCTTGTCTGTCCTACTGATGTGCTGTGCTGTATGGACTCTGTGCTGGATGTGGTGGTGCTTGTCAGTCAATGTCTGGGGGCACTGTTTGTTCAAGTCACTTGCCTTTTTGATTGTCCGATGGGAAATACTGCGTTGCTGCAGGGAGTAGCGTGTTAGAAGAGTGAGAGGTGAAAAGTAAAAAGCCGATAAAAGACTTCTGAGTGTTGTGAAAGAAAGTCTTGCATTCTTGCAATTTGTATATTGCTGCTTTGTTAACCAGAACCTTTACTTTTTGGGCCTGTGGGTTTACATGTGCACCTATAATATGAATAACTGCTAATGGGGTTATGACAGTTCTCCAAAACATCCTGGAAACATCTTAGAAGAAAGTATCCTCCTTTTGATACTGCACTATCCCACTTCCCTCAGATGAATAAAGGGTGGAACTACACAATTTTCTCTAAATTATATCAACTTTGGTGGGGTTTTTATGGGTTTGATTTTTTTTTTAAGATTTCAACCCCTTTTGGACAGTGAGTCACTTATTATTATTTGCTTACACTATTTGCAACAAATTAAGCTGACTAGAACAATGGAAGCCGCTCCGTGGTGTGATTTCTAGGTGATCATGCAATTTGAATACTATTGGTAGGTTAATACTAGGTACTTTCTAGTAGATTAACGTTTTAGGCTTATTAGGGCTGATTATTAAAGCTTACTGACAAGACAGAATTGGAAAAATTGAATGAATTCACAACATTAATTAAATCAGTGTTCTTTTGTGGACAGCTTAGTGGCTCTTCCTTGTTCCAGAGATGGCAAGCGGCTGCCACGTTGTCAAGGGCAAAAAGTGCGAAGGGAACCTTTCCGGAGGAATTATATAGGCAGCTTATTTTTCTTTAAAGTATGGTAGTATAGCTATGGAGTGAATGAAAGCACCTGGGGACTCGGGCATCCCAACTCTGAATGAGTGCAAGAAGGGATGAACTTGAATATACTCAGGAAAACTCCTTGCTATGTTTATATTAGGGCTCATGCTAACTTGTCAGTGACAGTGAAGGATTTGAAGGATTTGTCTTTGAGTTTCAAGGAGTGGATTCATTTATTTAGGACAGAAGTGGTAAGTGAATAGGAAATAAAATCAGCAACAGCATCTCCCTTTGCCTATGAAGAAATAGTTACATGCCTGGTATTACCGTGTCGCTTGGCAGTTGTGTCCCATGTTGTACTAGAGTCAAATAATTATCTTGCTACTTTATAAGTATCATGTGAGAGTGGGTTTTGTTACTTAGGAGAAAGTCACTGTCATAGGTAGGTAATTTTCCTTGCCCTCCCCCCAAATGGCATGTTTATGACAGCCTTTTTGCCAGTAACAATTTCCTGAAGCATTGGCAATTTGGTGGTGAAAACAATTCAACATGGATATTAGGAGTTAAGAGTAACAGAACTATTTTTAATTAATCTTCTCAAATGTATTATTGTATGTATTATTGTATTCGGTATTGCAATTGTATTATTGTAACCAGTCAACAGTGTCCGTAATATTTGGCTCTTTGGAGAAATCTGGATGTTGGCTTTTTTCACTTTAATAGCTTGACTGTGCTGTGATTAATGGTCTTGTACAAGTTAAAGTAATACATGTTTCTTGTTGTGTACAATAAACTGATGAGTATTTCCCAGTTTATAGTGCATGTTTTTACAGCAAAAATACTCAATTTACAAGGCGTGGTTAAAAATGTGGTTGCAATAAGCTAGCCATGTCTGTTTTTTTTATTTCCTAGCTGTATGTTTTTAGAACATTTTATAGATAAAAGGTATCCTTTAGCTATTGAAATAGTCAAGTAAGTGACTTCTTACGAATCTAAACTATAAGTAAATCCTTCTGTTCCTTAAGAACCACAGATTAGATAAAGTTGTAACACTGGGTCTTGCAATAACCCCTTTAAGGGCTCTAGAAAGAAGCAAAATCAAGTGTTTTTCAAGAACTCAAAAAGAAACTTCCCCAGAATTGTCGGAGATAAATGTCAAGAGCCCAATTATGATTTTTTTAAATGCCACAGAACAATCTCTCCAGTATATAAGAAATGCAACAGGGAACATATTACAAGGCCAAAATAGACCAAAGAGTACTTTGACCCAGTCTGGAGACTATTAACAAGGACACGCACTTGGTCAAGTTTTTCTCTTTTTGGGCTGAATTCAGCATCTTATACTTACCTGAAGTAAGTAATTTCCTTCACTTTCTCTCCCCTTCTTCAGGCTACAGGTAGCCAAGACACAACATCTGCTTGTGAAGCTCTAGTAACTCTAATCAAAAGCTGTGTCTGGATGAAAGCTGAATTAATGAGTGGCACAGTGCGACTCAGGATTTATGGCAGAGGTTGCATGGGTAGTTCGAGTGAATTCATATGACACAATTATGCGTAAGCATGCCAGGGCTGGAATATCATTTAATGTAATGTATGCGAATTTGAAAACTGTTGCTTTTCCTGTATCTTAATTTACCCTTTTTGTAACCTCACTCAGTTTATTTTCTTCTACCGTGTATGGTCATGTATAGGTTTTTGTATATACATTGTACTCTCAAAGTGCATTTTCTTTTCCTCTCCTGTTTTCCCTTTTATTCTTCGCGGCTTTGTAAACAATCATTCTCTTCTCAATCTCTCTGGCAACGTATGTGAGTTAGTGTCATTTTTCAGCTCAGCACCTGAGCACAGTGATTTCTTACCACATCACCTCTTCCTAATGCTGCCTTTGCTTCCAGGTGTGAGACTTGCTTGCTAAGGAGAGCTTCCTCCTTTCCCTAACACTCCATGTCTAATGAAAGTAAGGCTTTATTCAAATCAGTAGTGGCAGAGAAACTCAACTTCTGCTCGTTCTGCCACGTTTTCTGAAATCTGGGATGATACAGTAGTTTTGGTAGGATTTCTTTTGCTTTTATTTGTGGGTTTTTTTATAGCAAAGAGATGCATCTGGCCTTTAAAACTGACATTTTATCTTTGAAATACTGTATCCTCTGGTTGTGTC